TAGGAAGCCCTTCACACCTGGCCCTGTTTACTAATTTCCAGCCTCACCTTTATGCTCCAGCTACACTGAACTACTTTCCAGTCTCCAAACTTTCTTTTGCCTTTAGGCCAGTGTACATGCTGTTTTCCTCTTCTGGGACTTTTCTCTTTCCCCCATGTTCTTCTCCCTCTATTTTCATGGTCTGACTGCTACTCCTTTTTCTGGACTCAGCCTAACACAGCCTCTCTCCTACTTCCCACCCTGACTGGCCTAGGGTTCTCCTGTCTCTTCCCCTACACTCTAAACATCCTGTGCTTCCATCTTGACTCCACAGCACCAGTGATAACAATGCCAATGAACTAGGCATCTCTCTCCTCCAGCCTTGTGCGGGAAGATGGGGTTTTGCTTTATTCACCACCATGCACAGTGCAGGGTCTCAAAAGATACTGGCTAGGTGAATGAATCCATGCCTGAAATAACCCACTTCTGGGTTCAAGTAAACAACTCTCCCACAGACCTAAGACTGCTGTGGCAGTGTCTTGTCTTGAATCTTATAACTCAAGTAGGGCCAAAGCTGGCTGGGATGGTTTGGAATTTTCAGGAAAACTACTGTCTGTTTCATGTGGCTGGAGCTTTTCTTAATCTTGGAGAGCCACTCCAAGGCAGGGCCCGGGAGTGGCCCCAGGGCGTTTTCCCTCTTCCAGCAATAGTCCTGGTGGGAAGGCCTGCCTGGGAGGGACACACCTCGGCAACAGCTGGCGGGAGGTTTATTTACTTGCTGTCCCTATCAGCCAGAGCCTATTTCTGGAACAGGTACTGGATGCAAGCCTGTGCCATTCCAGCACTGATCCCACCAGAGCCCTGGGTGACGCGCGGGCCATGTGGCAGGAGAGAACAGTGGCAGTCACTTAGCTTATCTCCCTGGCTCTAACCCAGCCTTCTTTGGGTATACCACGTCATTTCTGCTTTGCACTATTGGTAATTGTCCTTCCTTGGCTCCAGGGGTTAGCATTAAATATTGCTCCATTTGCTCTTTCTGTTTCACTTAGGGAGCCCTCTCAACTCCAATTTTCCTGACTTGAGGAAGTGCTAACTGGAGTTCCTTGGAAATTTCCAGGGTCAAAGAAAAAAAACAGATCAGTATTTCTGGCCAATATCATTTTTCCTACAGTTAGTCCAGTTTCTGAAAGGGAATTGGAATATGAAAAGGTCATTTGACTTGTGATCACACAGCAAGCCACAAGACAGATAAAGATAGCACCCGAGACTCTTAGATTCAAATTTAGTACCGTTTTAATAGCCTAAGTTAAGTCTATACTAAAAAGGTAGCTTTGGAAGCTCGTATCAAATTTGTTTTTGTTATGGGGGCACCTGGCTGGCTCAGTCGGAGGAGCCAGGGTTGAGGGTTCAAGCCCCACATAGGGTGTAGAGATTACAAATAAATCAAGACTTAAATTGTTTTTGGTAAATTGTGCTTCACTTGTTTTACAAGTCATCAACTTAGGTTGTCACCTCTAAACCAAATAAGAAACCATAGCTGTGGGGTGCCTGGGTGGCTCAGCTGGTTGAGCGTCCAACTTTGGGTCAGGTCATGATCTCCTGGTTTATGAGTTCGAGCCCCACACTGGGCTCACTGCTGTCAGTGAGGAGCCCGCTTTGGATCCTCTGCCCTTCCCCTGCTTGTGCTTTCTCTTTCTCAAAAATAAAATTAAAAAAAAAAGAAGAAGAAGAAGAAAAGAAACCATAGTTACAACTCACTGAACTCCCTTCTGTGGAAATCTGCCTCTATTAAAGAGTTAAGTGAACAGGTAGCTGATGATCTAGAGCCTTCGTCCCATACCTCACCCGGGTTTTCACATGGGGCTAAAAGCCTTCCAGTCCTATGGTTCCTCTAACTCAATTTCAGTTCCTCTAACCCAATTTGCCACCTTCTCATACTAAAATTTCTGTTTCTTAGGTAGGCAGTGGGAGATAGGGAAAAGGCAAAGCTAGAACCTTGCCTGAATTACAGAAACACTGTTTTCTGGTACAGATACATCCTCTAAGTGTCTGATGCTCGGCTGCTCTTTAGGAGTGTTTTGGGACCTGACTTCTTTTTTTCTTAAGTTGTTGTTACTTGAGGAAGAGTAGTTTTTGTTTATGATGCAGAGAGAAGAAAACTCAGTCTTTAAAAAAGAAAAAAATCTATCCGATAAAAGCCATCAGATGGCCCTGTAGGAAATATGGTCCAGCAACTGAACCCTAGGCAGAGATGGAAACAAGCTCAGTCTAGGGCCAGATGACTGTCAGTGGCTGGCTTCCCCAAAGTGTCTGGGGAACACAGAGGGTTGCTCTCAATGTCAAAGGTATCCCACTACTAAAAAGCAGTAGGGGGCACCTGTGTGGCTCAGGTCATGAACTCACAGTTCATGTGTTCTAGCCCCACGTCAGGCTCTCTGCTGACAACTCCAAGCCTGCTTCAGATTCTCTGTCTCTGTCTCTCTCTCTGCCTGTCCCCTGCTCACGCTTTCTCTCTCAAAAATAAACAAATAAACATTTTTTAAAAAGCAGTAGGAATAGGGGTGCCTGAGTGGCTCAGTCGGTTAAGCGTCCGACTTCGGCTCAGGTCATGATCTCACGGTTCATGGGTTCGAGCCCCGCGTCGGGCTCTGTGCTGACAGCTAGCTCAGAGCCTGGAGCCTGCTTCACATTCTGTGTCTCCCTCTCTCTCTGACCCTCCCCTGCTCACACTCTCTCTCTCTCTCTCTCAGAAATAAATAAAACATTTAAAAAAAAAAAAGCAGTAGGAATAAAGCTAATACCATTAATCAATTTTTTCTTTTAATTTTTAGAAAATGAGAGTAGGGGGAGGAGCAGAGAGAGAGGAAGAGAGGGGGCTTGATCCCACCACCCTGGGATCACAACCTGAGCCAAAATTAAGAAACAGACACTCAACCGGCTGGGCCCCCCAGGGCCCCCCATTATCAATTTTAAAAAAGGAAAGTATCTCTGGAAATTACCACCTCCCCCTAAATTCATAATTCAGCAAGTACCTGGAATTACCTGTTTGATTCCCATCCTTTCAAACAAGGCAAATACTTGATTTAGATATGAACACATGTTCTCTGAAGATTTTTAACCCCGCTCATTATCAGGGGTTTGAAACTTCATGGAGCCAGAGCTGCAAAAATCTGGCCACAGAATCCTACCCTAAGAACACCGAGCGGAGGTTTGGCTTGTCGGGGGGCTCAGGTCAAAAATAGAAGGCTGACAAAAGTTATCAGCTCTCCCGCATGGTCAAATACTTGTCTTTACCTCCCCACTGCCTGGCAGCATCTCTCTGGAGGAGAAGCAGTTCAAGAGCACCACACACACAGCTATTCTCATCAGAAATGCTTTATGTAGACAACATGGCCTGAACATGAACTCGATAAACAGGGAAACACAGACCCAGCCACGAAAGCCACCACGAGAGGCTGGGAACTGTTCAGAAGGGGTGTCAAATACCAACACCAAATTTACAAGTCTGATTTGAAGCTTGGCCCTTTCTAAGTGTAAGAGGAAGTTAGGGGAGAAACCATGCATGAAATAAAAAATATACATATACACATAAACACCCAAGTTTTCACACTTGTGTCCCTTTTCTCCACGAGGAACAAATCAGACAAAGGAAAAGTGCAGCCTCTTTTCCTAAAGTCCCTCTATTTATTACAAACTTAGAGGAGCCCCACATAGGGTGTGGATCCAAGGAGGCAGACTTGATTCTCCTTGGCCTCACTCACTACTGACAGTGAACCAAGGGAATGCTTGGGGTCCAAGCAGGAACATCCACAAGAGGCCAGAAAAAATATGGCTCACTTAGCTTATATATTCTACACAAGGTATCAGTTTCTCCAAATACTTTCATACTTGCTCCTTCACTAGATTCTTAGCAAACTTCTCACCTGTAGCAACAGAGCTCAGGCAAGGTGTGAGACACAGAGGAAAGCGGTATTTTCATCCAGCACGCACTGGGTCAGTCACTTTATCCAGGACAGTCACACATGCCAGCCCCAAGCCAGTCTTCAGGGGCCCACAGCTGTTCCTTTGGTGATTGGGCGGGTGGGCTACCCTCCCTCCTTAGATTGCTCCTTGCTGCTCCGCTGTTCCCTCTGGACCTGAGACAGCTGCTGGGCGTGTGTGCTTGCAGTTTACTGTGGCGCAGCCGCTGGCTCATCACCGGCCGCTGGCTTCTCAGCCTGGGACTCTGGAGGAATCAGATACTGGACCTCCTCTGTACTGATGGCTACTTTATCTGGCTGGAGCCACCTCTTGAAATGTTCCAAGGTGCTAGGAGAGAACAGGAGAAAAGGGCGGCCGCGTCAGACCCGGCTGATTAATTACTTAATGATTATCTCAGTTACTCAAATGCTGCCTTCCCGCCCACCACCAATTTCTTCCTACAATTGTTTTTCATTGCTGACAGGAGAACGACGATCCTCCTCTGACAGCTGTGCATCCTGGCAGCTCAGCGGCATAATTTACCCCCTAGTGGGCACTTGGGCTATAAGCAGCACCAGGCCCCCTTCAAACACAGAGCCTCTGAAGGCTTGACGGGAATAGCTGAAGAGCTTATGCCTCAATCCTGTCTTTTCTTCCTCAAGACTGGAGTGCAGAGAAACTGTCAGAGGAAAAGAAACGTTCAAATAAATACCAAATTATTAGTGGAGCATCTTGAAACCTCCTATACCTGAGGCAGTCTGAGGCTCGATTACACTTAGGGCGCTTAGTTGCACTAAGCACCATTTTTGTGGGGTTTTTGTTTGCTTCATCCTATAGCCAAGTCCCCAAGATGGAAACATCTGCACAGCAATTTCTCCCACAAAGAAATGGCCACTATACCAGAGGGCTCTTTTTTTGTTTGCATCTCTGTGGAGGGGGGAAGTGCCCCCTCCCATCTTCCTTAATTACCCAAGATCCTCCACTCTAAAGCTTATTAGATACTCATGGTAAACTGTAAATGACCACAGATAATATAAACCTTATTCTTTGCTCCTCAATAGCCCAAAGCCTCAAGCAAAGAAGTGAAGCCATCACCAGATTTTAGACACCGAAAATGGGGGGATCCTGGTGTAGACAAATAGGATTTCTCAGCCCATTACCCCTGTGCCAAGAGCATGCCATGACGAGGGCCACCTACCTGGCCTTCACGTACGTGAAGAACCACACAGTTCCACTACAAAATGGTCTCTGTTTAAAGCATAAACGAAGCCTGCAAATAAATGCAAATCCACTGTTTCTGGTGTGCTTGTTCTCACACTGATAGGAAGAAGTGTTCCCACAGATGCAGCTCAGGAGCAAGCGCCCACAGCTCAGGGGACTAAGGTTCCCCAGGGGCATTTAATCTTCACCTACCACACTTACCACAGAACTGTACCAACTGCTTCTATAGAAAAGGGAACATCACATCATTTTAGGTATTGATAAACACACAGAAACATGAACTTGAGGCTTGGTGCTGATTTAATTTCAGAGAGAAAGAATTCCTACTTGAAAATTATGCAGGAGAAAATTTTGTCTTCTCAGAATTGGAGAGGAGGCAAACATTCAAGGGGAGCGAGAATCGAATACCAAGTTATTAGTGGGTTGGGAATGTATACATCTTCAAGTCTTTCGTGTTTGGGGCTGCTGAAGGCTCAACGGGGTTGAGTCTTTAGAGACAGAAAAAAGCAAAATGTATATTATTTTCTGAACCCTCGGAGGGTAGGTAGCTGGCCTGACTTTAGATGCCACAATGATTCCTGAAGAATCTGGGGGCACGCCAATGCAGTATTTAAAATAATGTAAGTAAAAGTACTTTGCAAATTAAAAAGCAAAATGTAAGGGTGCCTGGGTGGCTCAGCTGGTAAAGCATCTGACTTGGGCTCCAGTCATGATCTGACAGCTCATGAGTTCAAGCCCCATATCGGGCTCCTTGATAACAGTGAGGAGCTTGCTAGGGATTCTCTCTCCTTCTCTCCCTCCCTCTCTGCCCCTTCCATGCTCGCTCTCCCTCTCTCTCTCTCTCTCTCTCTCTCTCTTTCTCTCTCAAAAATAAACAAACTTAGAAAAAAGATACAAACTTAGGTCATGCTTCCCTAAGAACTTTTGTTTAAAATTCATGTTTTTACTTCCCTCCCCAATTATTTTGATTAATTTCTTACTGAACTTTATTTTATTTTTATTTTTTTGATCTGTATTTATTTTTGAAAGAGAGAGAGAGAGAGATGGAGATGAACAGGAGAGGGGCAGAGAGGCAGGGAGACACAGAATCTGAAGCAGGCTCCAGGCTCTGAGCTGTCAGCACAGAGCCCAATGCAGGGCTCGAACCCACAAACCGTGAGATCATGACCTGAGCTGAAGTCGGACACTTAACCGACTGAGCCACCCAAGTGCCCCTTCTTACTGAACTTTAAAATTCCATCATGACCCGGGCGCCTGGGTTGCTCAGTCAGTTAAGCGTCCGACTTCGGCTCAGGTCATGATCTCACAGTTCGTGGGTTTGAGCCCCGCATCGGGCTCTGTGCTGACAGCTAGCTCAAAGCCTGGAGCCTGCTTCAGATTCTGTATCTCCCTCTCTCTCTGACCCTCCCCTGATCATGCTGTCTCTCTCTCTCTCTCTCAGAAATAAATAAAACATTTTTTAGGAAATTCCATCACGACCAATGATAATAGCTAACACTTACATAGTACTTACCAGGGGCCAGGTCTGTTCTAGTTTTAGAAGTTTTAGAGACCCCCCCCTTTTTTTTTTTTTTGGTCCCCATGACTACTTGGGGAGAAATGACAAATATATAAAAAGATGAACCTAACAAAATAAGGCAGCCTAAGAAAAGAGCTGGGTGAGTGGGTTCTAAGCACTTTATACACAGTAACTCATTTAACCCTCATTAACAACCCAAGAGGTAAGAGCTACTCTTCCTGCTTTACAGAGCAGGAAACTGAGGTGCACACAGGTTATTTCCTCAAGGACACACAGCCAGCAAGTGGCAGAACCACTCTCCTGGGTGTCGGGCACCACATGGCTCTTTGTGGCAGGATACCCTCTCCTCCTCTCTGCATCCGTCCCCCCACTGCAGAGACTATTCAAATTCTTCCTTCTTCTCTGGCACAAACACCAGAGCCCACAGGAAGCTCAGTGGTCCCTTGGCTCCCAAAGCGTGCTGTCACTTCCACTCACCCAGCTCTTTTCTTAGGCTGCCTTATTTTGTTAGGTTCATCTCTATATATGTCATCTCTCCCCAAATAGTTGTGGGGACCAAAAGAAAAAAAAAAAAGGGTTTCTAAAACTTCTTTACATCTCCCCTCCGCCCCAGCACCACCGTCAAGCACAGTGCTTTCACACAGCAGATGCTTAAGAATTTCATTCATTTAGTCTTTACAAATTTGTGACAAAAACTCTGTAAGGCACTAAGGAGTCACAGGTAAGATACTGTTCCAGTTGCTGATTGGCTACTACTTTCTCAAGTACATTGTATACTTGGAAATGAAGACAATGTTTTATCCTCAATTCTGTCCAATCTGTGATCAAGATGTAGGTGGGGTATTTGCTTTTTTGCAAAAATACTATCAAAAATCTGCTACTGGACCAAGAGTAAAGAGAGCAACCTTAAAAAGGATGATTTTGAGCTCAGAAAAGCTGATGTTGATATCAACCAATATCTGGACCCAAATGTCACTCTCCCTGAATTTTTTAGAGGCAGAGAAATGCCCTCAGTGAAATACTGTCACCTGGAACTGGACCGAGAACCAATTACCTCTCATCAGAATCAAATCCATCCACAAAGAACTCTGATGCTAACTTCTCCTGAAGGAATCGATCCCAGCATTCCTTCTTGGCTTGGGCCAAGGTCCGAAGCATGTCTTTAGAAGTTACTTCCTGATTTAAACCTTTGATTCTTCTCAGTTTCTTCTCTAAAAAGAGAAAAGGAGAAGAAATTAACAAGGAAAGTGAGTATAAAATGAAGCTAAATCTAAAATGCAACATGACAACTTAAAAATTCTCTCACTGATGAGTATATTCACACTCCCTGAAAAAGAGATTTTTTTTTTTTTTGAGGACAGGTAAAGGGAAATGTACATTTTTCTTTTTCCTTCACAATGTCTTAACTCTGGATTGTATCAAATAAATGTTTAACCCTAGAAAGGGAAAAGGCCATAGGCGCTCATAAATAAATCAGTGGCATGCCTTCTTTGAAATCACAGAAACCAGCAGGTATCTCTCTAAGGAATTACTTGTTTTCCCTGGCTTGACATGTGTCAACTCCTTGAAAACAGTCTCAATAGTAAATAGTTTTTCTTTTTGTTACAGTGACATGAAGTAGTTTCCAAACCTCATGAGAAAGAATTAGAGATAATGATGAAAGACCCAGTGGTTCCATTAGACACTAAAATTGACTTGATGATCTCTATGTGTGATTAATTTCTTCATAAAAGAAAAACAATCTCCCAACGTTTTTTAAAGTTACTCAACTTGTGGCCTGGATGTTGGAACCTGATAAAAACAAATATCTTGTAATTCCACTGAGTGGTCTACATGGCTTCCTGATGATAGATGTTTACTTATTCTTCTTTGCATTTTAAGTGTAAACTATTGAACAACTGAAGACTAGAAGGAAGGGTATCACCATTTGCCTTCTGCCTCAATTCATTCTTGCCTTCAACTATAATAAATGTGTCACTGATGGCCTTTTGGAGGGGGAATATCAAGCCCAGACCCAAATAGAAACTTTATGATTTGCAATCCTGTTTTCATTTCTTCTTTTTTTAAATTTTATTTATTTAAGTAATCTCTATACCCAATGTGGTGCTTGAACTTATGACCCTGAGATCAAGAGGTACATACTCTTCCGACTGAGCCAGCCAGGAGCCCCCTGTTTTCTTTCTTTCTTTTTTTAATGTTTACTTATTTATTTTGAGAGAGAGAGAGTGAGCAGGGGAGGAGGAGGGAAGGAGATGGAGCTAGAATCCCAAGCAGGCTCAACTCAGAGCCTGACACGGGGCTCTGTCTCACAAACTGGGAGATCATGACTTGAGCCAAAATCAAGAGTCGGTCACTTAGCCAACTGACCGGCCCTGTTTTCATTTGTAAACTTACCACATCATCTACCACCCACAGATCAAAGCAATAACCACCTTTCGTTGCTGCAGGTTACCACCAAGTGCTCACCCATGTAAAAACCCTGCAGTTGATAAAAGCTAAATATTTAAGGAATTTTTGCCTCCTTGAGGATGTGAAAAGCATTATGTAGATCTCACACTGAGCTGGCTAAGTTTTTATAATTGGTGCTCTTGGTGGATTCTTTTTGATACAGGTTTATATGGCAATAAAAACAATATATTATCTGGCCTTGGTTCTCAGGTGAAAGGTACTCTTTTGGGCTGGACAAAGTCTTCCCCTCTCTGAGTGTGCTGAGTCCCTAATCAGTTGTGATCTAAGTTGGGCAGGTAGAAATAGATCCCGCTGCATACTCCAAACCTGCCTGCCAATGTCTCCCAGACTCACCCGCAGGCACAGAAATGGCTCTTATCTTCCTCAGAGAATGAAATTTTAATCATCTTCCTTTTTTTTTTAAGATTTTACTTTCTATTTTTTTAATGTTTGTTTATTTTTGAGAGAGATAAAGAGTGTGAGTGGGGCAGGAGCAGAGAGAGAGGGAGACACAAAATCCGAAGCAGGCCTCAGGCTGTGAGCTATCAGCACAGAGCCCAATGTGGGACTCGAACAACCGAACCGTCAGATTATGACCTGAGCTGAAATGAGACGCTTCACCAACTGAGGCACCCTGGCGCCCCAAGATTTTACTTTTTTAAAAGATTTTATTTGTAAGTAATCTCTATACTCAACACAGGGCCCAAATTTACAACTCCCTGGTTCAAGAGTCCCATGTTCTACTGACTGAGCCAGCCAGGAGCCCCCTACTCATCTTAACTGATTTTAGAAAAGATCGGTGGAGTTTTAACTTCCCAAACCAGTCTTGACCAAGTAAATCATCAGCAAATCCATAAAAGTTTCTTATGTCTCCTGGGCAGAGTACCAACAAGCTGCAGGATGTGGTTCTCCAGCTTTCTCAGACGGTTGCTTCTTCTCCTTATCATCATTAAGCAGATGTTCTGACTAGGACACAACAGAATTGTCTGGGGCACCTGGGTGGCTCAGTCGGTTAAGCATCTGACTCTTGATTTGGGCTCAGGTAATGATCTCACAATTTGTAGGATCGAACCCCATGTTGGGCTCTCTCCCTCCCCCCATGCTCCTT